AAAAAAAAAATTGTTCTGTTTTTAAGAAAAATATGTAGTTCTGATGCAAGCAAAAAGCAGGGGAAGGAAAGGAGTATTTTTTATTAAAATAAAAACCTCATTTAGGAGAAAAATACATAGTGTAATAGAAGCACCAGGTATACCTTGTTGTAATCATAAATCCCCAGAACATTTGCCCAAATAATTTTCAGTGTATAATTTTCAGTTAAAGTCATTCTTGTTTAAAGTCTCTTTTCCCTTTGTATTTTCTTTGTTCTTTCCAATTTATTTGGACATTTTATTTTAAAATGAACCTCAAGGGAATTTTGGTGGTTCATCTTTTCATTACTTTAGTAATATAGTACCAACATACTCATTGTTAATAGGTGATGACAGTGTAATTACATTCATGGGAAATAAAGTACTTAGGTTCCTTTTCTCTTATTGTGTGATTATAGTGTTACAAACTTCTATAAATAAAGCGAGAACCCAAATGATATTTGTTTCTTTCCAAAATAATTATAAGTTGTTATCACTTATCAGAGGTAATCAAGAACCATTTTAACTGTTACTTTAAAAAAAAAAAAAAAAATATATATATATGTTGTTGTTGTTATGTGCCATCGAGTCAGCCCCAACTCATAGCGACCCCTCCTTGGGTTTCCGAGGCAGTATCACTACGGAAGTAGGATTGCCCAACCTTCCCATCATTTATAGTCTGTCACATATAGCATGCACCTTGTTAAAAAAAAAAAAAAATATATATATATATATATATGTTGTTGTTGTTATGTGCCATCGAGTCAGCCCCAACTCATAGCGACCCCTCCTTGGGTTTCCGAGGCAGTATCACTACGGAAGTAGGATTGCCCAACCTTCCTTCCGAGGAGTGGCTGGTGGGTTTGAACCACCAGCCGTCTGGTTAGCAGGCAAGTCTCTTAGCCACTATGCTACCAGAGCTCCCAAAACAAAGCCCTAGGGTAATCTTTATGAAAGCAGACTGCTTCATCTTTCTTCCACGGAGTAGCTGGTCAGTTCAAAACACTGACTTTTAGCTTAGCAGCCAAATGCATTAACACTATACCACCAGAACTCTTGGCATTTTCAACAGGGCCCTTAAATATAAATTTTCCTTTGGTTAAGAAATATATTTATGCATTGGTCCCAAAGTTACTGATGTTTGGTCAAGCATGTAAGTTTCTAACCTATTATCTAAGATTTAGCCTCGCTAAAGTAATTTGGCATAAGTAAAAGGAGCCAGTGAATAAATCATTACATATATTCACTTGCTTCCTCTTTTGAGAAAAGTTTAGAATAATGATCACTTTAATAACACATTGTGATGAAGAATGTACAATAGCAGCTGTTAATATGCATTTTTAAGACTAGAGAGTGTGGTGACTTATCCAGATATAAGGGCAACATATGTTCAGCTAAGCATATGGATTGGATTATAAACCATACTTATAACATATGGAAAGACAAAAAAAAAAAAAAAAAAAAACTAAACTCACTGCTGTGGATTTGGATGTGACTCATAGTGTCCCCTCCTTGGGTTTCCGAGGCAGTACCACCATGGAAGTAGGTTGCCCAATCTTCCTTCCTAGGAGTGGTTGGTGGGTTTGAACCACCAGCCTTCTGGTTAGCAGTCAAATGCCTGAGGCACTATGCCACCAGAGCTCACTGGAGAGACAGAGGGGATGTGCCAGTGACTGTCTCTCTCCATTTAATCAACGAATATATTGTTCTAACATATACTGGAGAACAGTTTATATTGTTTTAACTGTTGATATATGACAGAGCTTGATATAAGAAATCAACTACACACATTTTGAATCATGTGACTATTTTCTTTCTGTAAATGCAAAGTCAGATTTTTTTTTTTAAATTTAGTATTTAAGAGAAAAACCTGAAAACAAATAAAAACTATAAGGATCTTCTTGAAGAGACTAAACGTATGAAGACAGATTATAATTTTCCTAAACATTTTATCTTGCTATATTTTTAATAAAGATAATAAGATTACTTAGCCCAAGCACAATTAAGTGAATTTCCAAACTAGCTGATTGAAGATATTAAACATAAAATTGAGAAACAGAGTTTTTAATTCTCATGAATCCAGATTTCTGGGGACTATGGAGGTTGGCCTGACCCACCCAAGCCAGTGCCTGTTTCCTAAAAGTTATATTTAAGTCAAACAATAACCTAACAATTAGGCTGTTTGCCTTGAGCATTGTACTCTTCTGAAGAGTTATCTATGTGTAGTCACTTCCTAGAAACAGAAATTTCAAGGTCAGAGTAAAAACTGTGCTTAAGGGTAAATTGTTATGAAAACACTGTTCTGGCTCTGTTTCCATGGCAATGTCCATAAGATGGAATATAAGAATCTTTAGAGGATTTCTCATCTTCAGAACACTGATTCTCCAGTCAGAAGTGCTGCCTGATTTACAAATCGTATAGTAAAATAAGCTGCAAATCAGTTTAAATTCTTGGCTCAATATGATTTTTGTTTTAACAAAACAAATTACCTTTTCTTGATATTGCCGCCTTGAAGAATCCAAAGACTGGATTAAAGCTGTGGCATGACCAACAAACATGGCGTAGCAGGTGGCCCCTACAATCATGCTCAACATGGTAATCCAGAGGTCAGACATGCTGACTGGGGCTTGAGCTCCATACCCAATGCACAGCATGTGGCTCATAGCTTTGAAGAGTGCATATGAATACTGCTTCCCCCAAGAGTCATTCTGGAATAAAAGAGAAAAAGAAAAGAGACTGAGGCCCTAGAATGAAAAATAAGTATAATGTGTAGACAAAAGCATGATAAAATAGTGACTATGGATAAACATCCTTGTAATGGAGCACTTACACATGTACTTCTCATAAATTAGTAATCAGATGACTCCATGTTTTTCCAGAGTTTGCATAGCATGATGAAATAGAATTAGTTTATTGTTAAACTAGGCATTGTTTACCTATTCAGTTTCATGTTTTCCGAATTTAAAAGTAAAATTGCTTTCAGAGAGATGGTGTTGAATATCACATAAATATATAAAAACAAAGACTGCTGATGGGGAATTTGATAACTCTCCAGTGCTATATACAAAAGCCGAAATATGTAGCAGATGGCTGTGAAGGATATGGATGTAAAGATTTTTTTTTTTTTTTAAATCAAAACAATAATAAATTTTAAAATCCAAATGGCTATATTTATATAGTCATTAAGTCTATCATCTTTCTAAAATAAAACATAAACAAATACATATGTTTGAATATACACCCATTGACCCTGCATGCTGCAGAGCAGAACTGCTCTATGGGGTTCCCAGGGCTATAATCATTACACAAGTAGATTATGAGGACTCTTTCCCCATGTAGCACATCACGAAGTGGGTGAGAATCACCAACTTTAAATTAGTCCTTGAGCACACACCGTTTGCACCACCGTAGAACCTTCATTTTGAAAAACGGAGAGCACTTTTGTGAAGCACTTTTATCAGAGCAGTGTAGATTGCATTCAAATGTCAAGGTCTGATGACAGTGTTGGCTTTGTACAAAATAATAAAATAAAATGTTGTTGTTGTTGTTATTTGCCGTTGACCCCGACTCATAGCGACCCCTCTTTGGGTTTCCGAGGCAGTATCCTTGCTATACTACGGAAGTAGGATTGCCCAACCTTCCTTCCGAGGAGTGGCTGGTGGGTTTGAACAGCCAGCCTTCTGGTTAGCAGTCAAGTGCCTTAGGCTACCAGAGCTCCTTGTTGTTGTTGTTGTTTTTTGCCGTCCAGTCGGCCCGACTCATAGCGACCTCTCCTTGGTTTCCGAGGCAGTATCACTACGGAAGTAGGATTGCCCAACCTTCCTTCCGAGGAGTGGCTGGTGGGTTTGAACCACCTGCCTTCTGGTTAGCAGTCAAGTGCCTTAGCCACTATGCTACCAGAGCTCCTTAGTATAGGTAAAATATCAATTGAGCAAACATTTTGAGAAAAAAAAAAAAAGCCGACTTCTGAGTTCAAATATTAGATCAAGTCTTTATTCCAAGTTAAATCTAACAGAAATAAACAGTTGAATGTATTGCACCTACACTTTGATAAAATTTAAAAGATTTTCTTAAAATCAATTGCATCAAACTTGGCAGACCAAGGTCAGCTACCTAATGTTTGAGGTCAACTTCAAGATGAAAATGTAAGTCACGTAGTTCAAAAAACAAGAAAAAAGAGCGTTGTTAAACGTTATAAAAAATACTTTTCTTTTAAGAATATCTTACTATTTATGAAACATAATAATATTTTGGTGTCATAATTCTATATAATACAGTAAATGATAAACAAACAAATAAAAAAAAAACCACTGTCATCAAGTTGATTCTGACTTAAAGAGATCCCTCCATTGGGTTTCCAAGACTCTAAATCTTTTATGGAAATAGATTGTCTCATCTTCCTCCCATGGAGCAGCTGGTGGTTTTGAACTGCTGACCTTCTGGTTAGCAGCCAAATATCTTACCCACTATGCAACCAGAGCACTGCATTAATGTAATATCTTGATTGATCTTAAGAGTTTTCTGGATCACTTTTCTGCAAATTCGTTTCTTAGGTCTTCAAAATTTTTTTGTTTAGCAGCTTCTTATGCAATGATATAATTAAAAGGAATATCAGTTTCTCTTGGCAAATGCAAGATACAAAAATTTATTGATATTTCTTAATTTTGACAAGGATCTTTTTGTTGATGCAACTGTTAGTGGAGCTGTTAAGAGTATTTTAGCCTGTGACAATATAGGGATAAACTTTTGATGATTTGTTAGAGATATAAATTCTAGTACATTTATAGCTGACAATTCTCAAAGCAATTTTTCAATAAAGATTTAACTCTTCATACAAACCTGTTTCATTTAAGTCTGGATTTATTTATTTTTACAATTTTGAGAAAATTATAGATTCACATGCATTTATAAAAATAATAGAGAGAAATCCCATGTTACTTTCACTCAGTTTCCTCCAATCATAACATCATACAAACTGTAATACAATGTCATAACCAGGAAAGTGACATTGATGCAATCTACTGATCTCATGAATTTTCACCAATTTTTCTGTCTCCTCTCTGTGTGTGTAATTGTTCATATTTTCTTCTTTGCAATTTTATTACATGTATAGGTTCATGTATTCATCACCACAGGCAAGATACAGAAAAGTTTCCTCACAAGTATCCTTTATGCTTCATATTTTAATTTAAAATATAAACTTATAAAATGTTATTTTAATGTTTTCTCTGATTGTTCTTGTAACTGGCCAAGGTATGTAAGAAACCAAGAGTGGTTTCATGATTTGGTTATAATTCAAAATACCTATCTATTTCATTGCTGTATCTTACAAAGAAAATTTAATTTAAAATTGTCTTTATCCTTAGTAATTGATTAATTTATAGCTTTATTTAAAATTAGTGTTATTTTCCTCAGGATGTGAACATCTTTAAATTACATTTCTACTTCTAAGCTTGTGGATATTTGTTTTCCAAAGTTGCAACAGTTTTCAAAACTGGAGATTGTAAACAGAAGAATGCTAATGAGTTCTTAATATACCTTATTGAATTGACAATGTTTATGTTTTCATTTTGTAATGAAATTCACTAACAAGTGGAGAGTCCAGCAAGAGAGTGGAATGGGCAGAAAAGCTACCAGACCCTCTGCAACAAAGCAATGAGAAACTAATTGAAAGCAATACAGAAGACGATTCTGGAACTCTGAGATTTGAAAGCAAGGATAAAGACATGGATTAAACAGCAATTAGTAGTGCCTAAGGCATTTGACTGCTAACCAGAAGGCTGGTGGTTCAAACCCACCAGCCACTCTTCAGAAGGAAGGTTGGGCAGTCTACTTCCGTAGTGATGTTGCTGTTGTCGTTGTTAGTGCCGTGGAGTCGTTTCCGACTCATAGTGACTCCATGCACAGAAGAACGAAACACTGCCCAATCCAGTGCCAGTTCCATGATCCTTGCTATACTTAAGCCCATTGTCCAGCCACCATGTCAATCCATCTCGTTGAAGGCCTTTCCCTCTTTCATCGACCCTCTACCTTACTGAGCATGACATCCTTCTCTAGGGAATGGTCACCTCTGACAACATGACCAAACTAAGTGAGACGAAGTCTGGCCATTCTTGCTTACAAGGAGCATTCCGGCTGCACTTCCTCT